TAATAATAATAATAATAATAATAATAATAATAATAATAATAATAATAATAATAATAATAATAATAATAATAATAATAATAATAATAATAATAATAATAATAATAATAATAATAATAATAATAATAATAATAATAATAATAATAATAATAATAATAATAATAATAATAATAATAATAATAATAATAATAATAATAATAATAATAATAATAATAATAATAATAATAATAATAATAATAATAATAATAATAATAATAAATAATAGATAGTATGGTTTACGGCAATATTTCCATACGTTGTCTTACTTATTCTCTTTATTCGCGGTATCACTCTGCCGGGAGCTGAAAAAGGTATCAAATACTACATTGAACCAAATCTTGAAATGTTAACTGTACCAAGTGTTTGGCAAGATGCTGCAACTCAGGTATTCGTTTATTTAACTCTCAATATATAATATCAATATATATTTCAATATTTAACTTTCAATATAAATCATTATTAGATGAAACAATACTTAGATATTGAAAAACAATTTTATATATTATACTAATTCAAATAAGAATTTAAATTAGTTATTGGAATCATAATGCTTGCAAGATCCTAAATTTTATTTGAAATTAAGTTCAACGTTGAAGTATTTCGGCTATCGGACAATATGAATATGTAAAAACAAATATGCAAATTTTCAAAAAATGCAAAAATTGATGCAGCATTACCGTAATTATTATTGAAAATAGTTCTGGTGAAATTTAGAGGGAAGCTATTACAGGAAATATTGAATTTAGGTCTTTTTTTCATTGGGCCCAGGATTTGGTGTTTTGATGGCTTACTCATCATATAATGAATTTCACAATAATGTTTATCAGTAAGTTTCAATCTGTTACTTTTGCTTATTAATAATAGCATTTTGTTATAATTAATTGGATTTTCTTTGTCATTTATTTTTGTCCCTACGAATTATTGCTAATAAATCGAATTAATCTTCTTCCAATGAATTACTTGACTCTTGCATTTCTGACTCAAATTGTGTTGCTCTAACGGAACTAAAAGAAAACTTTAAACTATTTCATCACATTGTCCTTGCTAAGATATATTGAAAATGATGTTAAAATTAATTTAACAGAACAGATTTTAGTGACGCATTAATTACAAGTGCAATTAATTGCGCAACGAGTTTTCTGTCCGGTTTTGTCATTTTCTCGGTAAATTTTCATTCCTATTTTATTTCGTTTTTCATTTCCATTTTATTTCATGTTTCATTTTCAAGGATTCAGTTCTTAGTGTTTGAATCATTTTTGTTATTTTATGAAAATTTAAGCAACACACTTTTCACATTTTCATGTACTTGGCCATATGTCGTGTAAGAGCGGTAAACCAATACAAGATGTAGCTCAGGTAAGCTATTCTGTATCAAAATTTCTTTCGTCCCTTTCTTCTAATGTATAAATTATATTGCTATGAATTATTTTATGACTGATTAATTTTCAACTCTTAATTATGGGAAAACTTATAAATTATATCATTAGTGATTAACCTTTTTTCAAGCTTATCATATTTGCTTCTTCCATATTTTCTTTATTTCCATCATTTCCATCATTAATGCATAATAACATCCGTTTACTTCTACCTACTCATTTATTTTGTTGCAATTTTACCTACCCATTTATTTTGTGATAGGTAATTTCAGGAAGGTCCAGGACTTGTATTTGTTGTCTATCCGGAAGCATTAGCAGCAATGCCAGGTGCATCAATATTTTCCGTCATTTTTTTTCTCATGCTACTTACTCTTGGATTAGACAGCTCGGTAAGTAAATTTATTTATTAATTCAAATTCATTTTTTTTTCGGCTTGCTTTTGATCAATTCTTCAAGAAATACATTACAAAATGCTTTGTGTTGCATACTTGGTACTATTCATATTTTTAATTTTATTTGATTCTTACTTTTTCTTTTGTCCTTTAATGATGGCAATAATGAGCTAAAAAGAGCCTAAATGGGTAACATATTACCTTCATGTTAATAAATTTTCCTTAATAAAGTCAAAATTTTAAAAACAAACCTGTTAATTAGTAATTTTGATTCTTATCTTGTTTGATGGAATACAATGTTAAAAATGAAATCATTAATTGGAAAAATTTAATTTCCAATCTACCTGATAAAATTAAACGTCAAAAGACAACATTGTTAATGGAAAAAAATTGATTTCCAATTTGTCCAATCAAATTGAAATAGTTAAAAGAAATGAAGATGTTAATTATAAAATTTAGTTTGGTGGTTCTGAAGCAATAATTACCGCATTAAGTGATGAATTTCCATTATTAAAGCGTCGTCGAGAATATTTTGTCGGTATACTATTCACTTTTTATATGTTTATTGGAATTGCTATATGTACTAAGGTTATTTTCTTTCATCACTTTGCAAATTTTCATACTTCGTATTACCATTAAACAGTTTCTTATCAATTGTTCTTATCACATGTCATTATTAATGGCTTATTTATGGGTTATTTATAATTTAATATATCATGCATCTAGTATGATTGCATCAGCACATATTTCGTACTTAACGAAGAGTAATGAATTCTCTTTTTCTTTGCTATTTAACAATTAATAAATGTTTTCATTTTGATGACAAATCGAAATTGTAATTTTTTTAGGGTGGTATTCTAATTATGGAGTGGTTAATTGTCTACGGTACCTCATGGGGTCTACTAATTGCGGTATTCTGCGAAACAATTGTCATCTCATTCATTTATGGTCCTCATACTGTTCAATACTTCAAATTTCTATAGCATAATTAATGTATTAGTAGTAATCATTTTGATGACCGTTATTGGTCATTTTTATGATTTATTATCAATGATCTAAAAGTAAAACAAGCAAATATTTCAGCGCTTTTTTTTAGTAAAAAAAATTAATAGTCAATTCAAATAGCATTATAGATATAACAACTCACAGTTATAATGTTTTAACTTAAATCATACATCAGATGGTTAACATAAAATGAATTTTGTTCCAAGTGATGCAACCTGTCTGGTACATTATTGTTAAATATCTCCTTCAATCCCTAACATTCAAAACAAACTTTATTGATTTGTCATATATTTGATGCAATAGTTTTGATAATAAGCCAAAAAATTTCACCTAATTTCAGGAATAAGTAATTTTGTGCAAAATTTAAAAGAAATGCTAGGCTTTGAACCAGGATATTATTGGCGTTTGTGTTGGATTATTGGTGCACCAATTTTTTTATTGGTTAAAAGTTCTACAATTTATTTATTCGAATTGTTAACCAAAATTTTTTTTCTGAAGTGTTTCAAATTTTACAGTCTTCATTTGTTAATTGCATCAATATTTCGTCTATTTCAGTGTACCATAATTAGTTGTTTCGCTAATTATGAACCATTGAAATACCAAGATTTTGTCTATCCGCAAATAGCTAATACTCTTGGTATACTATTCTCACTTTCAACTATATCAGTAATTTTCATCGTTGGCATCTACAAGCTTTATACTGAGAAGGGTGACACTTTCATTATGGTATGTTTCACACTCATTTAATTACGCAGTAAAGCAACTGAATTATCAAGAGTAATTAAGTGATCAACCAAATAACTAATGAAAGACTGCTTATTTTATGCGAAATGTTTGTAATAAACTTTGAAATAGCGTATGAAAATACAACTCTTGTTTGTAGATTTCAAAACGAACAACAAGTAAACAAAGTAAAAATATATTTCGTTGCATCTATATTGGCTTAAATTTTATAATTTTTGAAAACAAAAAAAAAAAGATTGAAGTAATCAGTTTTTGGTACAAAAGGCAGAATAATTGATTTATACAAATTTGTCGCATTATTATTATAATTAGTAATGAAAATCTAATGCATGTATTTCAGAAACTAAAAGCAGTTTTAACACCTCATCGGCGGGATTTTATTAACACTAACGAAATTACCGGATCTATGTCAAATGATGAAATATATTTGTAATAATATAGTTCTATTTAATTCTAACAAAGTGTGTTCGCATTAAATTGCAGTAACACTTTATCACAATAGAAAAAATTTTTTCCTTAATTGTAGAAACTCCTTTCCCAATTTGTAACTAAATCACATCATAATATATGAATACCCCGGAAGATAATTTTCGTAATAATTTATTGCAACTCATCTATTTCCCTAATTTTCATTAGTATTAAATTAAAATGTAAAAATGTGTTTTCATAAATAAATCTTTAAAGTAGCACATTATAGCTAAACTCTGTGGTGCTTTCGTCTAAAGCATTATTCCATTCGTACCTTTACCAAACTTCATTTCTAAAAAAAAAAATCCAGCACTTCGGTAATGATCCCTACTGTCATGAATGTCATGAATTTAGAAGTATGACAAAAAACGTTAAGAATTGCTTTGCGGGAAGTGTCAACTCAGGATTTCCATCAAAAAATTGTAGTAATTTAAATTAACATATTTCGAAGGATGAGGGAAAAAGAAATCTGAACCAACTGTAGGTGAGGAAAGTGAAGAAATTCCGAAAAGTTATAGCCTAGATCAATGGATTAAAAGATGCTCAACATTACATTGTTGGTCGCATGCGAAGTTTGTTGCGGAGATTTGTATCATACTCCAATATCTAGATAAATCACATTTATTTCAATGAAATAGCCTTTAGAGATTACAAAAAGACAAAAAAATTGAAAGCAAAAATTTTCTGATCAATTAAAGTTTGACCTCGAGATATTCTTCGAAGTTTATTTTAAATAGGCTTCCAAGAATATCTCGAACAAAAATGATCAGAAAAATATACTTTAAATAAAGAAACACATACGAATAGAGCAAAAAAAAAAAACAACATACAAATTCATTTCTGTAACTTTGTAACAGCCACATCAAACTAGAAGATGAAGAAAATTAATTTAAAGTTAAAATTTGAGATTAAGCTAACTCCATTTCTAATTCGATTCGCATATCTATAACAACACTTACATATTATAAGTATCAAAACGATTTAAATAAAGTGTCCAGTCCATGAAACAAATAATGTGTTCAGAACCGAAAAACAAAACACAACAAATAATTTGAAAACAAATTAAATGAAAATCATTAATCGACCTCCATTCCAAGCTCATTTACATTGTTACCATCAGCTTTTGGTGCATGATCAGAAGCAGCATTCTCGCCTTTTTGTCCTTCACTTCCTTTCTCTGGTTCCTTTGTAGGCTCCACTTTTGCTGGTGATGGCTTTGGTTTGTTCAGTATCGGTAAAATGATATTTTCAAATTTCTGAAAATAAACTACTAGAAACTGCAAATGTCAAATGGAAAAGTCTCTTTGACAAATTTCACAAGCTTCTTCCTGTCAACTCATGATTATTCAAACATTTTTGGATATTATCACAAACATCTTGCAGCCGAGATGAAGATTACCAAACCCAAACCCATTCTTTTTACCTGCTGCTCATCCTGTATTTGATAAACGAAAACGATTGGCGCTTCAGTTTTCTTGCGTATTTCCTGGCGATTTCTTTGATCATCCACCCATTTCTTTTTCTCTTCCACCGCAGATATTACCTATAAGAATAAAGCCATTTACTGATAGGGTTTTTAACAGTCTTAACAGATTGCAATTCCCTTTAGAACAGCAAAATCGTAGAATCCCATCTTAGGATATAGTATAAAAGCAATAAAATCGAAGATAATGCACCTTTTCCATATCACTTGATCCAAGATGTGCATATTTCTCACTTCCTTTTGTGTACTCATCGTAAGCTTTACGTGCTCTCTAAAATCCTTGGCTTATAAATTATTGAAAATAGGTGAAATTTAACAACCAAACTCAACTATTAAATCGAAGTCATTCCAGTTTTAAAAGTGTAGTTTCAATTCTAAATTCTCTCCTCCCCCTAACAACTTGCTATGTCGCATAAAGTCGAAGAAGTTACGATAATGGCTCGATCAAACTCATCGAAAGCATTCTTTCGATTCTCGTATTCACGATGCCGTTCTTGAACAGGATCACCCAATTTCTTCAGCTCAGACATCTTAGCATCGTATACTTTTTTTTCAACATCTTCTCCTTCGTCGTAAAGCCAATCTTCCGTTTTAGTTAACAGTTCTCGCAATTTCCCGGCATCCTGTAACAAATCCAAAAATGTCATCGTTCTAATCCAAATCCAAATCTTTTACAACATCTCTGTTTAGTTAACAAATGATGTACTTCACGTAGTAGAAGAAAACTGTATTCAGACAAAAAGAAATCCTACTATAAGCTTGTCTGTACGAAGGTGATAAGAAAAACAGTGGCGTAGGGAAACTAGGAACCAACTCAATAAATCAATGTCTCGTTGTATTTAATACTAAAGATCGAGAATCGTAGCAATTTTTACGGTTTGTAGGTTGAGCAAAAATCTAACCTCGTCAGAGATAAATTCTGCAAGTACATCCGATAATTTGTCTCGCATATAATACACATATTCTTCAACAGCATTTTTTGCGTCTACTTTCTCTTTTTCCACACGATCTTTTTCTTGCATTTCTTTCTTAAAAATTGCCAAATATTTGAATTAAAGTATGCCGTAAGTTGATCAATATTGGAACTCTACTGTTGCGTGCTTTGTTACTGAATAGATGGTGCATTTCATTTTCTAGTACATATTGTAAGTTTGCTAATAGGAATCCGTAAAATCTTGATCGCATCGGTTTGAATATTTATCACTACATTATACGGTTTTCCCTAGTGCATAATCGCTTACTGGCATGATAATACTGTCCATTCCCTTTCTGTACTGTATTACACTTGTCTATGCGTATACCAACGCTACCTTATGTTCCTCCTTATATACCTATCCGTGTATTTGTAATCTTGTGCTGTCTCACGGTTATAGGACCGAATTCTTTCATTAATTATATGATTTCTTGTGTGTTCCTTCCCCCTCTGAATTAAAATTTCATTCTATAATATACTAGGAGACTAACCTCGAACTGTACTAATTGAGATTCGTTAGCAATAATACATGGGACGTGTTCCTCAACCGGCAAATCCACTGTAATTGTTTTAGTTTTCGGCCCATTATTATTTGATAATTTCTGATCTTCTTCAGCAGGAGGTAAGACATTATCAGTTACTGCGTTTGCACTTCCTTCTTTATCCTGACTTCCTTTAGTGTCATCAGTTTCCATTGCTTCAGATGTTTTTTGAATCTGAGTCTAAACGATAGAATAAAACTTTAAAGATTTAGACAACTAAAAAGCACATAAATCATGTCGTTAAAGCACTTACATCAAGTGGACCTGCTTCGACGGTCTCGAACGTACTCGCAGAGCAAACAGAAAATATACCATTAGGGTTGATTCGAACCTTCACTTTCACTTTCCTTGCTTCGTTATTTGGCCCAGGCGTAATATTTTTAACTACCCATGAGCCTTAAAAAAACATATATGCATGTTCAAATCATCCAAAGTGACCATCTTGTCCAGTGGAAAACTAAACTTTAAATAAAATTTTAAAAACAACAAATCGACATCAACAAAAAATGAAAACACCAATGCCCTTATCGCTTTAAACAAACCTATATGTCGTATCGGGTGCGGGATTTGATTGGGATATGAATAACTGGCATCGACTTGAAATGATTCCTGTCGATAAAGCGTAAGCATTTTAGAAAAAGGAAACTCGTCATGTTCAGTAAATACATCATTCTCGCTGAAAGTAATTATCACATTGGAAAAAGCTAAGTAACTGGAACAAAACTGCCAATGAATAAAATTCTCAGAAATATCATTACCTAATTTCGTCAAGATACAATGCCAATAATTCAGAGAGAAAAGGACGATAAAAACAGCAAAGCAATTAGCTAAAAATTGAAACTATTAGTTGGAAATATTTTATACATACCCTCCTTCACTTTGTCCGACTCCTGCCCATGAAAGTTTGATTCTGTATGGTTGACTATCTTTCACGGAAAAGTCCCGAACTTTAAATGCTGGCGAGAGAATAGCACACTTCATCGCAGCACCTATAATCAATTAATTTTGTAGAGATAAAGACAAAACCCATCAACATAAATCGAAGATTACGAAAAACCACTAAATTTAAAACTGACAACACTAGAAAAGCTTTGGTCGACCATTCTTGAATAAGCTTTTTAAGCAATCAGTTCAAAATGATTCGAAAATTTCCCTTAAAAAAGTACCTCGAGCTACAGCCTCATCCTGGTTCATCGTAGTTTTCGGTTCTTTCCCGAACACTTCGGAAATAATTTTTTTGATGGCCGGAATACGAGAAGAACCACCGACTAATTCAACTGACTCCACTTCTTCCGCTTTTTTTACATTCTTTCAGCAAATTTGTCAGCAAAACACGCACACGATCTAGAAGTGGCTGTGCGAGCTCTTCGAACTGCGAACTGAAACAAGCGAACTAAAAGGAACTAAAACAAAGAAAACCTATAGCGGAATTATAATAAAATCTGAAACCCTAACTTCATGATGAGAGATTAAGCGAAATCGAATTATTACCGTTGCAATTTTCCACTGACATCCATATCATTCATGAAACATTCAATATTTAGTGGTATAGCTGTACTATTCGTTGACATCTGTTTTTTAATTTTTTCACATTCATCCAAAAGTCGGAACCATGCTCGTTTATTGGTTGTCACATCGATCTTAAAAATTTTTGAACTAATACATAGTCTGAAGTACTGGAACTGTCGAATTTTCATTAAACATAGCCGAGAATGGCAGAGATATAAGGTATAAAACTTGTACACTGAGGTTCAGAATGATAGTCTTTTATTTCATCGCAAACCATCTGACATTGGAAGATTGATAGCAAGTGATGCAAACATGTACATTTCCACTCGCAACTTCGTACAGTTTAAACTATAAAGATAAATGAAGTTTCTGATAAATTAACCTTGTAGGTGTCATAAAATAGTTTGCTGAAGTAATCTCGTATCACATCGTCAAAAGCGAGGCCACCAACTTCGAGATCATAAGTTGCGCCAAGTATCTGGGAAGCACGTTATAAACTACTAATTTATACATTCGTCATATCTATATACTCAAATGCAGAAATGGACAAGCTTTCAAGATGATATGCTGGAATACTCTGACGTTGATGAATAAAATTGGAAGAGGAAGCAGACTCGTACAATGTCAGGTCAGGCATCTGCAAACTCTATTAAGAACGCGTAGAGAAAAAGGTTGTTTGGTAAGATCTGTTTAGGTCTTTTTTTCCAAGAAAAAAAAGTGTTCAGAATTACAGTGAGTTTGCCTTTATTATATGCAACAAGGACAGCTTGCGCAGCGGAATGTCCTATATCGATAAATGCTACAATTCGAGATGGATCGTTCTCTGCTGGCAAATCCTGTTTGTAAATACCTGAAAAGGGTAATCGTAGGGGCTCGAGAAACTTGAGAAAAAAGTGATTGCAGATTTCTGAATCCTAAGTACTTCTTGCCGTTCAGTGCAGCTATTTGAACCCACGATGTTAGTGTCAAACTATTATGTTTACTGTAGATGATATGTGGACCTGCAGATGATATGTATGATATGTAGATGGTTTAAACTATCCTACCGCTTAATATTAATATCCGAAGGTTACTTCGAAAACATATGTTTTGCTATTAATACCCGAAGCTTGCTTCGAAAATATAAGTCCAGGTCCAATTTTCAAGGACAGACAAAAACTAAGGAGTATTAGTAACTATGGAAATAAAACTATCGGAAACTACGAGTTTCGGAAAACATGTCACAAAATAAAGCTATCCCAATTATTATTGAAAACTCAAAGAAAAACTGAACAGTTCAAAGATACCATATGCGAGAGCAACAGCCGTGGTTTCGTTGAGGATTTGCAAGCAATTTAAGCCTGCTATTCGGACGGCTGTCAGCAAAGCGCGTCGCTGAGCATCAGCAAAATAAAATGGGACCTGAATTTTACTGAATTTGATGACACAACAAACCTATGTCCGATCACCATAAAGAAAGAAGAGAGAAAAGATCAATTCTGAAACATTCTCTGAGTCATCGTTACATGCGAATAGCATGGCTCAGATGAAAAGGGCACAAAAAAAGGCATTAAGTGACAAAGAAACATCACTTATTGAGAAGAAATATGTGAATTCTAAACAATAAGAAAGAAACAGTAAAGGATACTTACTGAAACAACACAATCGGTGACATTCCTCATTCCGTGAGAACTGTTTTCTGTGATATCCTTTAATTTAACCAGAAATATTGCTACCACTTGTTCGGGGGTAAAAACTTGTTCTTTATCGAAATATTGGACCTGAAAATGAAATGTCCACACGAGTCTCCTTTCTAAAGTGTCTATTAGCAAAGACAGAACTCGGAGTACATAACCTGGAAGTCCCAGAAATTCAAAAGTGTATAGTATTGTGCAATGATTTATACCTTTAATCCAATATCATCATTAGGTAACTGAATCATTTCACAAGGTATAAACTTTCGGTACTTCTGGGTAATTTGATCGCTAAATTTTCGTCCCAGTAGATGTTTAAAATTGATAATGGTGCTTTTAATATTCGTATTCAACTGCTGCCGTGCGGCAACACCCATCGAACGCCCTCGAGAAGTGAATGTTACACAAGATCTAAAAATAACCATATATTGATTGCTGACTGCATTTCTTCAATACTTAAAAAAATATCCAAATAGTGACTAACGTCACTACCAAATATACCACACACTATTCTACAAACTAATGTCCTTTGCGCAAATTGTAACAGAAATGAAAAACGTTCCGCATTATATTCTATTCAACAGCATAAATGCATTATAAATTTATGTGGCAGACTTCTCAACTACTCAAATATTTGACCCTGTAAAAACACTGACCTTAGACCTACAGTTTTTAAAACATCTGCCTGAACAAAATGAAAATAAACATTCAAAAAAAATGCTTACGGAGTGGCCCGCAAAGAATAATCATTGGCGATCGTTTCGATACCACCTTGACGTGCCACAGCGATGAAACTGTTTATATTACCGAAATCGAAGCCTACTACAGACATTTCTTTCTGCCACTCGTAAACTGAAAGAAAATCAGTAAATTAGAGGATCCAGTGGGATTATGAACTAGACACTGATCATTTGGTCGTAAAGTCCGGTAGAAGTAGTAGTAGCACATCATGGAAGAGGCAAAACAAAATAAATCATTCGAAGGAAAATCACTCAAACAAGTCGACCAGAACAAAATTAAAATTTAGCATTGAATGAACAAACATCTTATGTTTCGCGAAAGATCAGTAAGAGTGGGAAAAAAGACGCATGTAATCACGTGATTATCACCACTAAATAAATGAATGCCACCCGTACTGTGTTATCAGTAAATGACGATATAAAAAAACAAGGCGGCCCATGTTCTAAGTTAAAGATGGGTTACTGTTTGGATCGAAAAAGTACGACAAAATGCTTTATGATATGAAGCAAATCTATGGATAGTGTAATTTTTATCATCAAGGTCAGCGCTACGACTATAAAATTTGTACGTCTTGTTCATTAAAACTGTTGAGTAATCATTCAATACAGCGTAAAGAGATGTATCATGAATTGTAAAATGGAAATCAAAATGCCTCACTACCGATGATAATAGTTGAAAACATGGAGGACCAAAAAGTAACACTGGGAACAGTTTTTTTTACAGCTTTTACAGAATATTTATTATGAACACTGAATGGTATCATTCAGTATTCCTTAATATAAAATAATAAACGTGCCATTACTTATATATGTTTAAAAAGTATGACACAAAAGCTAGTCAGAACTAAATCTTTTCAAATACGCTGTCTCCCCCTTTAAATTTAAAAATTTGTTGTTCATCGCATATTTCAAAGTTTCTCAGTTCCTTTCCATTTAATTAACTTCTGACATCTAATGCAGTCATCAATTTTGATTAAGGGTCACGTTTTTTTTTCTTTTGACTTCAGCTTGAGTTATATATCGTCAAATTGAACCGCTGAAAAAAAGATGAAAGGCTGAAAAACTTGGAGACTATCAGAATTATACTTCATTAAATACATCATCTGAATGCGGTTCCACGGCAACCAATCGTACTCCTCAATCTTTTAGTTTACAACTGCGCTTTGAATTTTGCCTGCTCGTATCTAAGCATTTCATGTTATGGACTCAAGGATGCAATATGTTACGTCCTTCGGTAAAAAAAATCCGATCTTTTAATTTTCGGACGCCCTATGGAATGTTACTTTTGATTAACATGATCAATTCAGAGTCCAAAAGATAAGCATTTTCTGCATAACACCTTCTGCTAGCTCGAGGGTTCTAAAATTTACAAAGTTTATGCTAACGATATTAGTGCGTCACAAAACAGAAAGCGAAAAGAAGTGAAATAATGGAGATGTATCATAAAAATCAAAGAGTACATGACAGAAAGAGAATCTATTCTGGATGAGTGCAAATTTCTCTCGCGTTGAAAAACTTCATACAAAACAAGTACAGCTCTAAGGACGAAGGCTGAAAGCAACAATTAGATTGACTCAGCTAGAATTATGTGACAAATTATCTAGGTGGAAATTTCAAATTAAAGTTACGTTAGGTCAGATGGAACGATACCACTACTGCAATGTTTGGTTAACATGAATAAAAAAGTATACAAATGTTTTCGTATGTAGAAAATTTTACAGTTTATAAAGGTTACCGTTCCAAACATATACGTGACACAAATTTTGTTATAACTTGTTCAGTTTCTTCGTTCACGTAACGTAACATAATCAGCGATCAGGAAGAAGCACGCACGTAGAGGATGAAATATGTACGACGACGACTTGATCTGTTATCAATTCTGGCAGAATCTTACGAGAAACTAAACTTCATCCGCCTAGAAAAATCGGTTTTCTATCTAGCTTTCCAGAAAAGGAAAAATATTGAAACATACGGTACAGCTACTTCCCCACAGTTCTATTTAATTTCCTTCATTAAACAACGGTAGTCACATGAACTCTCATCGAGAAAAATTTAGGATGACAGGGACAGGGAATGGTAATATTATCGTAGGTAACATCTTATTCCTTACTTGTGGGTAAATCCTAACTTATTCGTTTCAAGCCTAAGAGACAATCACTGGCCTATCGTCGAGACGACCACCGAAACACGAACCTAAGATCAAACAGGATGACTGGCAGCAGCATCCATCATCGCCCAATTGAATTCGTCACGAAAGTTCGAGAACATTGCTAGACGGTAGTTTGTTGTATTTGCCGCCCAGTGAGGAAGACAAAGAGGAAGAAGGGAAGAAGCAACAGAGGGTGGGAGAGAGAAAAGAAAATGGATGGAAAAGAAAGTAAGGGGAAAAAGAAGCAGGAGAAGAAGGAGAACAGAGAAGGTAAAAGAAAAGGTTGTGACACAAAAACATATTAGGCATTAAAGAAGTTTCCCGAAAAACGGGAACAGTGTGCAAATTTTTTGTTTCCCTCTAAGGATTTTTTTTGTTAATAGAAAGGTTCTGTTTTTTTTGTGAAGTATGCTTTAATAGCTTCCTTTATAAAACTTGGAACTATACTGAAAGTTGGAATATAACCAGTGAGGAAATAATACAAGAGGTTAAAAGCATGGCAGTGGTGACATACATGTCGAGAAAGACTTAAATCAGCAGCGAATGCTTCGTTTTCAACGACGTGCAAATCATTCGAAGCTTTATAACCAGTCATAAAAACGGCAATAAGTATGCGCAACGTGTAGGAGCAATATACCACTCTTCAACGCACATCTCTAGGTTACATGCACGTGAATTAAAACAGTGTAACATCACCTTGCAGCTCAACGTGACAAAAAGTCCAACTTTCACACCTCGAAAGAAATGCATTGCGACAAGTTGTGGCATGAAAACTGATGTTTTCATTTGAGAGTTCCGGAGTGGCGTCTAATTCACTAGAAGTAGTATTCCGGGTTCATCAGTTGAAACTTACTCTTCCATGTATTTCCGGTTTGTCTGCAACATAAACTTTTCTTTTAAATTGATTGGACTTCTCGAAGGTCATAGGGTGAGGTTCATTTCTTTAAGTATACGCCCAAGAAAACAGATGGAGACAAAATTCTTGGGGACTTTTGGGCCTACTGGCTATCCTCCACATTAATGGCAGGGAGGTGTAGGACCCACAAATCCAATCACCAGTATTTAATGTAAGGTATAGACAGAGGATGTAATACAATGGATTTGCGGACATTTATGTGATTAATTGCAAAAAAAGTCTGTTTATTAATTTCAATAAAGATTTGACAAAAAGAAAAAGTTTATCGAAGACTTAACTTGAAAGGTTTACATACGTACACACATGACATGATGTGGAAGATATACATTATATGTGTACATGTATGTATATATACATATAGCCGGACTAATTAATCAAGAACTTACGGAACGCGGGAGAGATATAACGATGCTACGCTGCAGATCAGTTTATATATTAGATATATATTAGATACAGTTCAAACATTTTGATCTCTACCTTTAATCAGTTTTTCCAAAACGATCGGGGTGTTTTGGAATAAGTCAGATGATTAGCGCAGAAATGTAGTTTAAGATGATACAGAACATGATTTGACGTAAATCGCAATGAGGATGGATCACTTTCACGTAAATTTTATGTTTTCATCCATATTTCGAAGTACAACACTATGCTCAGTAACGTGACAGTGCATTTTTAAATGATGCAAATAAAGAAAATTAAACGAAGCGCATCTTTTGCTAAGCTTTTCCTGTTTCTTGACTTTTTTTTTTGAAAATTGCAATAAATTGTAATGAATGGGAAAGCTATGCGTCTATGCATAGAATATACGTTACGTTAGATTTCGACCATTTTATAACTACGTACGCATATTTCAAATTGATTCAATCATCCAATAATTTTTTTTTTAGCTCTGATCGTCTTAATGTTTGCTAAGAGATTGGAAGACAAATTAATGTTTGTATATTAGTTGGGAAATGAAGTATTATGATATAAAATATAGTAATACAATATTTAGAGGTATGTTTTCATAATATCATTCCAGAGAGTGAATCAGATTTTTGCAAAGGTATTTACGATGTACACGTATATCTCTGATTTATTGTTGTAAAATAGGCATACGTCATTTATCCAAGTTTTTTTTTTGACGTGTACCAAACTTAAACCTTCAGAACACATAAAATGCCAAATACGGCATTACGAGTTGATAAGGCGGAATGGTTACAAAAGGTCGAGCAAAGTTTGCATGCTATTGATATAATTGGACGGAAATTAATTACTGGACGCTCAGCATGCCGAAATATTGGTTCCGAGCCTACTTTAATACAACTTGAGGTTTCCGTTTCTGTCAACATCATTGTTACTATAGAACATTTTTCTGTTTTTCTTTGAATGGTAATGTATATTATATATATATATAT